AACTGCCAAGTTTAAGATTGGCGGACTCCAACCCCTAGAATTCCTCAGTTCCATTCTCAAAGTTGACCACTTGAAGACGTGTGGACCAACTCCCAGAGTTCCTTCGCCCAGCCATGCTGGGAGTTGAAGTCCATGAATGCCAGGCCAGGGAATTCTGGGAGTTGAAGTCCACACATCTTCCAGTAGCCAACTGTCCACTGTCCACAAGTTCTCCATCCGATCGCCCTTTTGAGCAAAAGAGGAAAAACTCTCGCTCGTTTTCTTCGTGGAGGAGAAGCCGTGTTCCTCTCGGGTTGCCAAAAATCAGAGCAAAGCTGACTGAGGAATTCTGGGAGTGGAAGTCCACAAGTCTTAAAGTGGCCAAGGTTAGAGACCCCTGTCTTAAGAGATCCACCATGGGGGAAGCTCAGAGCAGATGGCTTTGAGATCCCTACGAGTCATCATGACAACCTTACAAGGACAAGATATATATTTTCCTCCAGCCCTTATTATGGGAAGCCATCTGGACAGTCTTGGCTTTATTTCTCCAAAAACATAGATAAACAGAAGGCTTGGCAAGACGCATTAATTGATGTCCTAGTTCAAAGAAGCTCAGATTGGATTTCCCGGAAAGCTAGAAACAATTCTGATGCTTCTTCACAGCGAGGGTTACGGCGGGGAAGAAAGGAAGCACCTCAAAAGGATTTGAGCCTTTGTTTATTCAGTTTTATTTGTTGATTACATTTATATGGTGCCCCTCTGTGGTCATGTGGCAACCATGACTAAACCCCAAAGGCACATGGAACGCTGTTCCCTTCCCACCAAAGGGGTCCCTATTTTTCTACTTGCATTCTTTACATGCTTTTGAACTGCTAGGTTGACAGAAGCTGAGACAAGGAACGGGAGCTCACTCCATGACGTGGCGCTAGGGATTCGAACCGCCAAACTGCCGACTTTTCCGATCGACAAGCTCAGTGTCTTAGCCCCTGAGCCACCGCGTCCCTTTTCGTTAAACTAGACATACCCAATTCCTGCCAACCATTCTTCCTATGTTTCAGCCTGCAGCCTCTTAATTTTGTCGCTCTCCTTCCTAGAGTCTTCAACATCACAGGAGACCTTGAGAAGGCCACCGGGTGACATTTCTTTCTCCAGCTTACAAAGAACCCTTGTGATTTCTCCCCAAGGAATCTGGACTACAGACGCCGACAAGCTGTTTGCAAGAACAACCCATCGGCACATGATGCGGCACCTCTGGCCGAGGATGTTGCCGGCAGATACAGCTAAAGGGGGTGAAAGATGAGGCAGATCCAATTGTGAAGAAAATACAATCATCACGGCAGCTTGGCATTTTCTCCACGGAGTTCCTGCCTCTCCAACATCTGGAGTTCATTCTCTTTTTAGTTTAGTGTAGCACATAAAAAAAGGCTCTGGCTTTTAATAAAACACGTCGGTCAGAATAGCCGGTCCTATTTGCTCTGATTTTTGGCAACCCGAGAGGAACACGACTTCCCCTCTGCGAAGAAAACAAATGAGTGTTTTTCTTCTTTTGCTCAAATGGGCGACCGGACGGAGAACTTGTGAACAGTGGACAGGAGCGTGTCTCGAAGTTGGCCACTTGAAGACGTGTGGACTTCAACTCCCAGAATCCCCCAGCCCAGCATTCATGGACTTCAATTCCCAGCATGGCTGGGCTAAGGAACTCTGGGAGTCGAAGTCCACACATCTTAAAGAGGCCAACTTTGAGAGTGGAACTGGTGAATTCTGGGAGTTGTAGTCTACCTATCTTAAAGCTGCCTGTTTGAGAACGGAATGAGGAATTCTGGGGATTGGAGTCCATCTGTCTTAAACTCGGCAGTTGGAGAAAGGGCTGGAGAACTCTGGGAGTTGAAGCCCGCCTGTCTTAAAGTGGCCAACTTGGAGAAAGGCTGATCTGTAGCACGTGATTAGGCACCATTGCCTTGGTGACCCAAAGAACAACCAGCAAAGCTCTCACGGCAAATTTTCTTCCCACACGAGAAAGACATCTGATGGGAAAGGGTGGAGCTGAACGGCGATCCCTAAAATCTAATCAGGAAAAAAACAATACGAGGCCGGATTTGCTGATCTGAGTACATTCAATCCACGGCTGTGATGTGAAATTAATACTAATTGATGGAAACTCTTCGCCGCACCCTCCTGACTGTCCAATTATCTATAGAGCAGGTTGCCAAGATGAAAAAAAATATCACAGAGGACACTGGCGAGGGGGAGGCAGTCCCCCGCCCCCCAGGGGAATTCTGGAAGAGAAACAGAACATACCCAATAATTCATTCCCTCTTAGTCCAAGAAACCCAATCTCTGGAGAGAGAGGTGAGTAGCGAATACGTTTTGTACATGAAATAAAATGAATAAAATTAGCCGAGTTTCTTTTCTCTTAAATCTGAAGAAGGAAAGGAGCGTGATGGTCTTTGGACTGCAGCTGCCGCTCGCCCCAAATTCAGGGAGGAGTTGCTTTCAAATGGCTCAACAAAAGCCTTGGGGGTAGTGGGCCAAACTAACAATGGTTTCCCTTCCCCCTGAACAGGGTTTGTGTGAAATGAGCCGCGTGGAGAAGGACAGAGACACGACCCTGGAAAGGGCACGCAAAGACTGTGAGCAAAACACGAGCTCAGTTGCAGAAAACAGGAAAGTGTGAGAAGAAAGAAACTAAAGCTTGCCCTGTCTTGATGTTTTTAGTATCTCTCAGCCTCCTTCTCCTCCTCCTCATTCCCTAGAAGCACTGATGATGTTACCTAGTTGGGTCATGAAACGTCTGCAAGGAAAAAAAAGCAAGCTCAGAGAGCACCAAGGTAAGAATCACAATTATAATAACCCTCCTCTTCCTCCCTCCTTCCTCCAAATCTCATTCCCAATGAAGACTGATGATATTATCTATTTGGGTCATGAAACATCCGCAAGAAAGCCACCCAGCTCAAAAAAGCACCGAGCGCCTTTCATTTTAATCCTGAGCTACAAATATTCTCCTTTAATATTACACGGCTTCTGTTATTACAAGCAATAAAACAAGGCTGTAGATTTCTTAAGGCCTCTGTTTCCTGACCTTGCCTGTCTCCAAGGCTTGAACCCCGGACAAATCGGGGCCATTCAACGCCAGCTGCCTCTTTTTCCAAGTGGGCATGGGGGACGCACAGAACGGAGGAAAGCTTGCCAGGTCAAAGATCGAGATGCAAGCAAGAAGAATTCAAATTGCAAAAAAACTCCCTCGTTGGCAGTCCATACGACCTGCAGCCAGCAAAACTTAATTTCCCTGAGCAAAGGCTGAAATCATCCACGGAAACACAGAGAGAAACCCATGGGAAAACAAAAAACAAAAAACCCCGAGAGAAACAAAATAGTTCTTTAAAATAGCAGCTGGGGTATATCAAGTAGAATTTTAAATGCTGGGCCAGGCCAGTCTCTCTCTGGCAAGACAAGCGTTGAAAGGACAATCCTTGAATAAATGCATAGTTTATGCAGCGAGTTTTTTCTTTCTTTCTTCTTTTCCATAAGACAGGCTTTGCGAGCCCGCTGTTCAATTTTTCATCGTTTGCGGGCTTTCACCTCCTCCTCCTCCTCCTCCTTTCTGTTTTTAATTTAAACATCTAATTTAAATTTGAAGAGGACGTAATCACCGGCCGTTTTTTCAAAAGCAAACTAGTTTTGGGTGAAAAACTGAGGGGAAGCGAACAAGCAGCTAAGAAGCCTAGGTAAGATTGCGGGAGGGGCAGGTTAAAGCCATTTTTTCCATGGACACCTTCAGTAGATTATTCCTGCCAACATCCAGCGAGGTTCTGCAGAACTCAAAAGCCATCATGCTGCGAGGGCAGCGTGTTCCATTCTCATTTCCGGAGATGGGTTCAAATCTCATCTCTGGGGTCTTTCCAAAAGAAGCCGGCTGGCCATCTTTGAAGGATGGTCCCCTTGCTTTCCTTAAACAATCCAGGGGCCTGGGCTAGATGGTCTTAAGGGTCCCTTCTGTCTCCATCTTTCCCAGATTCTACTATTATTTTTGTAGGAGAAGGACGGGGGTGGAGTCAAGCAAGGAATTAGCCTGGAACCGTTACATTCCCACAGGGAGTCTAGGTGCAACCCCTCTTGAATTCCATTGACTCTTATCGAGCACCAATTTAGTGCTGATTATTCGTTGACTGGATTCTTCTGCAATTCTTTATTGCATTAGTAATACATCAGATTGACTGGCACTTAATAAATCAGATTAAGACTAGATTCGCTGACTAGCTTCTTGTGCAATTCTCTCATGCAATTCTTTATTGCATGAGAGAGAGAGAGGTTAGATTAGATTAGTTTAGATTAGATTAGATTAACAGAGTTGGAAGGGACCTTGTAAGTCATCTAATACAACTACACTCTCCTCTCCCAAGCAGGGGTCCCTACAAGAGAAAAGATAGGAGAGAGAGAGAGAGAGAGAGACAGATATAGAAATAAATATAGATGATGGTTAGATTGATAAAGAGATATAGAGGATAGATAAATAGGATAGATAGATAGATAGAT